AGAAACTGGGGCTCAGAGAGGTCAAGGGACTTGCCTGAGGCCATGCAACTAAGAAATAGCAGCTGCAGGATCGAGCCCAATGTCTCCCAGCTCTAAAAGCAGGCATCGCAGCCTCTGTGCTATGAACGTTTTCAGGGGGGAGAGGGGAAAAAAAATCACTCTTGGACAAATTCAGCTATCAGTGCCTTGAGGGTATTAACAGGAACAGCCAAAGGGAGACGATATCCCTGAAGGGCTTGGACAAAAGCGCCCTCCTCTCCCTCCCTCCCTCTTCCTGACCTCAGTTATATGTCCTCATGTCTGCCTGTGTCTTTGGCTTGATGGAGGCTCAAAATGCAAACTCACTGCCACGGAGTCAATTCTGACTCCTAGCGACTCTAACGTCCCTCTGGGTTTCTGCGGCTGTACATCTCTCTGGGAGTGGTGAGCCTGGTCCTTCTCTTGAGGAGCAGCTAATGGTTTTGAACCGCTGATCTTGTGGGAAGCAGACTAATGTGTAATGCACGTCACCACCAGGGCTTCTTGAAGACCAGGGAGGGGAAGGAGATGGTGGCAAGCAGAGGGGATGCAGAAATAAAACAGAAGCAGAGCCAGGTAGGACAGTGACGCCAGCCTTGCTGTGTCCATCGAGGAGAGAAGGACTCCATGTTCTTTCTCCCCAGCTCTAGGCGGTCCTTGCTGGGCAGGACATCAGTGCTGGGAAGCAGCTGTTCTCTTCACTTTACGTCACAGGAAGAGGAGGCCTAGAAGGGCCACCTGGCCCTTGGTCCCAAAGCTAGTGAGTGAGGTTTGGGCAGACTGGCCTGTCCAGGTGGCCCAGGGCTGCTCTCCAGGCCTTTGCTTTCAGTGTGAAAACCCCAGAGGGTAAAGAAGACTCCGTCCCCCCTGCTCCACCCCCTGCAAAATAAAGCTTCCTCCCCATTGCTCAGGAGAACTTCCCTCTGGGCCCTCGGGCTCTGGGGGACTGCTGGCCCCGAATGGCAAGACCTACAGCTGCACAGGATGGAGTGCAGGTTGACTAGGATTTTGAGGCCCGGGGTTTCCACCTCTGAACCCTTCTTTCTTTCTTCTCGTGAAGACGTGGCTCAGAATGTCCAGACACACAGACAATGGCACAAACCTCTCAAATCTGACATTCGGCCATGGGCTTCGGTAAGGTCTTTCCTCAACCTCACGATGACCTCCTGCTGGGACAGGATCTCCTTCTGAGCCGTCAACAAGTCTTCTCTGAAACACACGGAGACAGGCAAAGTCAGTTTCATTTCACTCTGCGGTTCGTCCGAGTTACCTGGAAGGGGCAAGCACCGGCGAAAAGGGGGCCTCGGTGGCGGCCCCCGGGGACCAGTCACAGCCAGGGGACTAAGGTCCAGCTTGACCACCTCCCACAGCAATCGTCCTTTTTGGATATACCCTCGGGTGTTGGACGTGATTGGTGCATTCAGCTGCTAACTGAGAGAGGCACCACAGGAGAAAGGTCTGGAGATCTACTTCCAGCAAATGAGCCTTGGAAAACTTTGCGGAGCACCCGTGGGGTCGCCGTGAGCTTGGGGTTAGCTCAACATCAGCTGGTGGTTTCAACGTCCGCCAGGATGGAACAGAGGATTCCAGCTGGGTTTGGTCCAAGGTTGAGCTTCGACTTGCATGCAGGTGAGGCCCCACACTGCCTAGGCATCTGCTGGCGGGGATGGGTGTATTTTCCGGCTTTTGACCGTGTTAGCCCAAGGAAGAAGGAGCTCTTTGAGGAGGAGGAAGAGGAGGAGGACCTCTTCCATGCCCTCACCAGTGACTAACAGTCAGCATCGAGCTGACTCCAACTCACGGAAGTGCCCTGCGTGTGCGCCGCGGGGTCCCAGAAGTAGATCACCAGGCCTTTCTTCTGAGGCGCTGACTTTTCAGTTAGCAGTTGAGCGTGTCGACCCTTTGCACCACTCAGGGACTCCATTCCCCCACGGGCTCGTGAGCCTTCCTGACAGAGAGAGGTGAGGCCAGAGGCAAAGACCAGTGTCCACGAAGCCTTCGTGAGGTGTGGGCTTTGGGGCGCGGGTAATCAAGTGGACTGCAGGGATGGTGAGATGGGGCACTTTCACCTACCATCTCACCAGACCCCAGAGAGCAGGGCACTGTTGTCACCATGAAGCTCAGGGTAGGTGACAGGGAGGATGGCTGTACCCCGTGGAGCAGTGGTCCATGGGAAGGAGGCCCTGCAGAGAGGCAGAGGGGTCCCCGAGTGAGGACTGAACTGGGAGAACATGGGATGTGTCTCCGAGCAATCTCAGCTCTCAGGAAGATGTGTTATGCATGTGCATGTGTTGACGGAGAGGGAAAGCCACGAGGCAGAGGGAGTGAGGAGCCTCAGGCGATAGTGTGTTCACCTTTGAGTGCACATGCTCCTGAAATCCAGGCTTGACTCTGCAGCTATAGACTCTTGAGGGAAAAGTGTGGATTTATTATGAAATTAAGCAAAATAGTGGTGGGTAGCATCTCAAAAGAAAATATGGATGATAATTGAATGGATTAAAAATACATGTGTATATTTTTATCATCTGTCTATCTATCTATCTGACTGGCTATCACTCTTCCAACTTGAGGATGAAACCTTAGAATTCCAACATATCTGCACACAGGGACGGAGACCTGAGTGAGACAATGTGGGTGCTAATTGTTCTTCAAGGCACAGATACTAGATCTTTAGAGGGGTTTTTTCTACCAATAGAGCGAGCTGTAGGCAGTGTTTCGAAGCAGGGACTGGAGTGGAGGCGGATAGCTTTGTCTCTCTGGGTACGACGCCAGGGGTGAGTGGAGCTGAATGTGAGGGTCAGCCTGGTGGTCGGTCTTCTCCAGGAAGCTTTGGGAGGATTTCCTCTGCGTCACATGATTATATGCTTGCTCTTGCTCATATGCTGCTTCGCAGTGGTTTCCTGGGTCCCTGCCAGCCATGGGTTTCTCTGAAAATGGTCAATGCCTTAAGACCCGTGTCATAGACTTAGTGACCCCCGAGAGCCTGCGGAGAGACCTCAAAAGCCTATTTAGGCCAACTTCTTACCTCATGCTTTTCCAGGACCCCATGCTACCAAGTGGTCTCCATTGTTCAAACATTGCACCGTGCCTAGGCATGGGCCTGCTCTAGCAGCCCCTTAGGATTAGTAGCTATAGCAGTCGTAGCTAGCACCCGCCCGGAGCCTTCTGCGGACCAAGCATTCATGTCTGACACTCCCATTTTGCAAACGAGGAAGCTGAGGCTGAGAGGTGACTGAGGTTTGGCCGGGGTCCTGCAACTGGAGCTGGAATTTCAATGCAGACCTGTCTGGTTCTTCCAGAACGTAGCTATCATCAGCTCGCTCCTGACTGCCTAAAGGAATCCAGAAATCCAAGCAGCCACGAAAAGACTCCAATCCCCACCCCCACCATTTGTTGTTGTTGTTCCAAAGCGATGGCCAGAAAGAGGGGCCATGGTTTGCTTGTTCTCCGTCCCGAGGACGTTGGGGTGCTCCCACACTCCTCCGGATACTCACATCAGGTGGTTGCACATGTCCTCTTTGATCGAACTCTCCGACGGAGGTGTCCTGGGAGGCTCCGGCTGCACGTCCTCCTTTTGAACTGTGCCAGAGGGACGTGCAAGGGTCAGTAGGCCCTCACACGTGGGTGCTGCCCTTCTCTTTGCTCATACCCGCAGGATGTCTCCCCCCACGTAGAGGCCAGCCCTACCCCGGCAGCCCTCTCCCACTTGCGGCACCACAGGCTAGGGTGAGGCCCGTAGGCGAGGTCATGTGATCTTCCCAGCAGGGAGCATGGCCTCTGTTTACAGACTGGGAAACGATGGCGGAGTCTTTGGGGACCGCTCAGCTCAGCTAGTGAGAGGCAGAGCCAGGGTTCAGATCCACTGAGTCGAAACACCTGCCCTTCTTTCCCCTTTCTATCCAGGCAGGAGATTTGACAAAGGCCACTCTACCGGTGGTTTGTCCCTGTCCTCCTCCCTGCTCACTCATGAGCTGTTGTCTCCTGATTTTGATCCTCAACACCCAGCCACCTGATCACCCCAAATTCAGTCAGCAAACACAGAATGCTTGCCTGAGGGCAGCACTGATGTGAGAGCTGGGTGACAAAGCTGCCTGGAAGGTCCCAGCTTACACTCCCTCCCTTGGCCCTGGGCCCTGGACTGGGAAACGGAGAGAGCCTTTGCGAGTGCCCTGTCCATCCTGTTCTCACACAGACCGCTGTCAGGGCACTGAGGGAGTTAGCTGCGGGTCCCTCACAGACGGCTCACTGGCCAACAGGAGCAAAGGGAACACAATCGATGCTCCGTTGAAGGCGTGGAGGGAATGAATGAGGGAATGAATGCAGGAGGTCAGTCCGGACAGTTCAGTCTCTGGGCTCAGGACTAGGGCTGTGGTCCTCCACTGCAGGTGGGCGGTGACTTGCCCCAGGGGGCATTCAACAAGGAGACATTTCTGATAGCCCCAACCAGCATCTAGCAGGGAGAGGCCAAGGATGGTGCTAGACACCTGACAGTGCGGAGGGCAGCCCCCCAGGGAAGGCTCGGCTGGACCAATGTGTCCACAGTGTGGAGGGCTCGGAGCCTCTCCCTCGAGCACTCTTTTTCTGAGCTCAGTGTCTTTGCAGTCAGATGCCGTGCTGTGGCCCCTTAGGATGAAGAGGTGCTCACGGCTCTGAGCTCTTCTTTCAGCTCCTGCAGGGATCATTTTTAAAGACAAAGCTGCATTAGCCAAGTCGTAAATTGCCCATGGCAGCGAGGAGCCTTGGGAGGTTTTCATGGGGAAAAGATGGCTCTGCTCCACCTGTCTCTGCACCCCTAGGGCCCCTGGCAGCCAATGCAGGCCGCTGGTTCCTAGGGCTGCCGCAGAACCCATCTCCAGTCTTGACTTTTATCTAAATTGGGTCTGAAGGGCGCCTCACCCTGCTATGTAACCAGGAGAAGGGGTATGTGCATGTGTGTGTGTGTGTGTGTGTGTGTGTGTGTGTGCTTCTTTTAAATGGGGTGGGGCCTGTTTTCTTCTCCATCAGTGGGAAACAGAAAGATTTCTCCCAAGTTGTCTCCCCCAAATATAAGTTAGACTTAGGACACTGCTTGCAACTAATGGTAAATGATAGTCAAGTTACCACCCTGTAGGCTGTAGGCAGTCAGTTGGCCAGACTACTGTCTGGTCCCACCACAGTTAGGGCCCACTCCCTGCTGTTAAGGACAATGGGCTACTTCTCCCTAAAGGCTTGAGGCCATTGGCTTGGTCCCTGTAGGTGGGGTTTACACCCACTGATAATGGTTTCTATGGAGATCCAGAGAACAGGGCAAACCTGCTCAGTGACATCCAAAGTTAGGCTGCCTTCCTGAAACTAGGATCCGCCCATCTTGTCACATGTATACCCCCAATCCCTGCTCTTCATATTGCGTGTATAGCCCTAGATTGTCTCCCTCTCATTGCTGTATAACCTATAGTGCAACCCCTTCCTGTGACGTATGTCTTTACCTGTAATTAGTGGGTTTGCACGCCCCGCAAAGATATATAAGCCTTGGTGAGCAATAAAGGTCCTCCTTGGCCTCTCTCAGCTCTCCCCTTCCTCTCTCCCCCAGTCCTCGCACCCCGGTTCCCTTTCCCCTTGTCCTCCTGCCCCTCCCCCTCTCTCCTGCCCTCTGGTCCCCCATCTCCATGTGGACCACCAAGCGGGGCTGAGGTGAGCATGCTACTATGAAATGTGTCTGCCTCCATTATTTCAATCTCTCTTTTATCTCTCATGCTCTCTATGACTTTATTATAATATATATATCTCAACTGTACAATTGTGCCTACAAACCCGCGATTAGTTGTGGGGGGCTGGCCCTCCCCCCACATCCATCAGCCTCCTGGGGCCCAGAAGACCAGGAAGAGCTGCCCCCAACCCGGAGCTCTCCTCCCGGGCTCTCTCTCGGGGCCTACCTGGGTCATCGTCCTTCAGCGCCGAGATCTCGTCTTCTATTTTCCTGTGGTGCTGCGTCACGCTTTGGAGTCTCTCCTCCAGACTCACGATCGTCTGCGCGTGCTGCTTGATCTGCTCCTTGTACTCGGCGATCTCCGTCTCGAAGCCATGCTTCTGGGACTGCCGCTCGTCCTGCAGGGCCTTAGTGGTCTGCTGCTGCAGCAGCATCCGCTCCTCCATCAGGATCTGGGGAGACAGGGGAACGGACCGGGCGATCTTGGGGGTCGGCTACGAGGACAGTGACAGTAACAACCACATGGCCCTCCTGCTCCCACACAGGGGCTGTGTGTCGGAGGAACAAACCCAGAAGGCTTCTTAGAAGCAAGTATGGTGAGGCTTTCATCGCTGGCTTTGGACATGTCAATCACTAGAGACGAAGATCATGTTTGTCCAGTGGAGGGCCAGGGAACAGGAGGAAAGACCGCAGGGAGATGGATGTGCACCATGGCTGCACCCGGCAGCTCACACATCCCAGCGATTGGAGGATGGCGGGGTGGGGTGGGGGGCAGCCTGCCTTTTGTTATGTGCAACACCAGGGCACCAGGAGTCGGAGGGACCTCAGTGGCAACTGACAACAGGTTCTGGTCTCACCCACACAGGCCGCCTTTGCCCGTGTGGGCCCTCTGCCTGGCATGCCCTTCTGGTGTCTCAGAGATCACGGCACATCCTTAGAGAGGCCCACAACACCGAGCGCAGGGAGATGCCTCCGCTCCTTTCTCCTCCATCATCTGATTTCGTTGCCTGGAGGGGCTGGCCGCCACCCGAAATGAGCCAGTTTCTCTATTTCTTGCTCCCGTGGGAGCAGCTCCACGGGGGCGGAGACTCTAGTAGCTTGCATTGCAGGAGCCCTGCGGCGGAGTGGGTGACCCGATGGGCCTGGGCTGCTAACTGCAAGGTCAACTGCTCTGCAGGAGAGAGGGGAAGCGTTCCACTCCCGTGACGAGTCACAGCCTCGGAAGCCCACAGACACGGCCGTACTCTGTCCTGGGGCAGTGAATTATTATTGACTTGATGGCAGTGAATTATTACTATTATTCTTTTGGTTTGTGTATGCTATCTAGATTCATGCCCAGCATCTAGGTCTAGATGTTCCATGAACAAGAGCCAAATTATGGCAGAATAGAGTATGGAAAAGCAAATGGATTTATGTTTCTTAAAAACAAACATCAGTGAGTTCCAAATGGTGAAATCTCCTCAAACCTTTTCCCATGACCACCATCTCCTCTCGGGGCTTTTTCTTGGTGTCTCCCTCTTGGCTGCCCTCCTGCTGCTCGGACGGCCTTCCAACCAGGCTCCCTGATGTCACGTTCCTGCCCTTGTGCCCCGTTGCTGTCCTGGGCCTCAGCCTCTAACCTTCTCCCCATGGGTCCGTCCTTGGCGGGAGAGCTCACACATGCTCATTGTTTCAACAATCATGCCTACAGGGTTGACTCCCAATTATGACCCCTTGTCTTTTCTCTCAAATGGATCATACCTCGCTCAGTGTGGATTCCCAGTGCTCACCTTGGTCTGGACTCCTCTTGTCCAAAAGAGAACCTCTGCCCCAACCTCCACGAACCCGCCCACACTTCCGCCCACAGTCGCATCCACATTCCATCCAGATGTCCTCATCCCCTGGCTGGAAGCCTGCTGGTCTCCTTTGGGGCCTCCTTCTCCTTGGCACTCACAGCCGGGAGTCAGCTATCAAGCCTTGGCATTTCTCTTACAACCATCTCTACAGAACTTCCTTCCCTGATAGGTCTCTGCTCCTCCCAGACCACAGCAATGGCCACAGATGCTGTGAAGCACCCGGTGCCCTGGAGAGCCCCTCCAACCAAGATGGATTGGGCCAGAATGTCAACAGTGCCATTGGGGGTGGGGGTGGGGGAAGGCGGGACGGGCCTGCTCTTGAACAAGCATTCCCAGGGAAGCATCGTCTTGCCTCCAGGGAAAACGTTGCCAGGCCCGGGGAGGCACCACTTACCATCTTTGTCTTGGTCGTTTCCAGTTCAGCTAAGGTCTCGTTGATTTTGATGGTGAGGCTCTCGACTTTCAGGCTTTCCATCGTCTTCATCTTCTGGGTTTCCTCTACCATGGCCAGTGCGGTCTTTAACTTGCTGTTTAAAACGTCCTCTTTCTGCACCTTTAATTCCATTTCCTGCACGGGCAACAAACACCAGGTGAGCAGGCCTGCAGGATAGACACTTACCCAACGCCCTCCCTTTCTACGGGAAAGTCAGGGGTGTTAGTATGCTGCTGACCCTATGGAAGAGCAAAGTCCACGCCATTTCCGGAAGGTTCCAGCGAGAACAGACGACTTCTTCATATTCAGCTGAATGATTTCTGGCCGCTGAGCTCAGTTCTGTCACCTCCTGAGTAAGTTTTATTTCTTTTTTACAGGACAGCGCTTTACGTATTTGAGGAGGGCTGTCTCTCACTGAATCTATGTTCCAGGGTGAATGGGCCGAGTCCCTTCAACCTTGCGTCATGGGATTTGCCTTCCAGATGCACCCCCACCTCCCACTCCTGCCCCCTGGACTCCGAGACGCTTGTCTTTGCACACCTCACTCTTCCTCTTGGAGCGCATCCTCCCATCTCCGACCACCTCAATTCTACTGTCCTCTTTGTAACCACGCGGCATTTGGACTTCATGCAGGGCCCTGGTAAGGGGCTTCCTAAACATTATTTCATCTCATTTTAAATGCATCATTGGCACAGGGACGGGGCAGTCTGGGGCTCTGGGGCTGGCAGTGTCGATGGCGATCCGTCTGTACAGCCAGAATGCTCCTTAGAAGGGAGGGTGGGAGACTTCATCTCATGTGCTGTGGACAGACTGTCAGAAGAGACAAACCCCTGGAAAATGGCATCGTGCTTGGTAAAGGGGCAGGGCGGTTAAAAAGAGGAAGGCCCTAAAGGAGGGGGTGGGCACCGTGGCTGTCACCACGGGCTCACTCATCACAATTATGAGACCAGCACAGGCCTGGGCGGGGTTTCCTTCTGTAGTACACAGGGCCACCCTGAGCCGGAACGGAATCAAGGGCACCTAACCACAATATCAGCCTCCTGACCCTTGGGGGGGGGAGCCGTAGTTCTGTGGTAGCGTCTCTCCCTCCACGTGGGAGACTCAGGCTCAGTTCCTCTCAGACTGAGCCACCGTGGTGCTGAGCAGGCTCAGGGGAGCTTCCAGACTGAGACAGACGAGGAGGGTTTGGCAATCTACTTTCAAGAGAGTTAGCCAGTCATCCCTATGAATCACAACTGTTCAATTGCAACCAGTGGTGAGGCTGGCCGGGACTGGGCAACGTTTCCGTCTGTGGTGCATCAGGCCACTCAAAAGCTGTTCACGACCACAGGCACGGGCCCTGAAGGTCCATCGTGGGTACTTTGTGTCCCATCCAGGTACGAAACCCACTCCCAGGGGTTTACCCAAAGCACCCACCCAAAGTCTGAGGCAGAGGGGTAGTCAGCTAAGCAATGACTAGCGAGATGCTAGAAATGGCCCCAGCATCACATCATAGGGGAGCATGCAGACTACATGGGGTCCATCCAACACAGGGCAGGCCATGGAACAATGCTCAATGACGTGGGGACATCTTTATAGCATTCCAAGTTTAAAACACAGCTTCCAAAGCACCGTGTCCACTCTAAAAGCCCACACCACTGGCTCGGTCTCAAGTGAGAATTTATTGACATCTATAGAAAGATGGGCTTTCTGCTCTCATGAAGATTTACAGCCCTCAAAGCCCACAGGGGCAACTTTACTCTGTCCTGCAGGGTCACTAAGATTTGGAATTGATTCAATGGCAGTGAGTTCGAATAATGATTGCTGATGGGTAAGCATTGGATTGCCAACCAGAAGGTCAGTAGTTCAAACCCACCAGCCGCTCTGTGGGAGAAAGCTGAAGCTGCCTCCTCTCATAAAGAGTCATAGTCCTGTGGGTCTGGACTCCTTTGAGGGTCAAATGACCCTTTCACAGGGGTTGCCCGGTTCATCACAGTAGCAAAATTACAGTGATGAAGTAGCAATGAAAATAATGTTATGGTTGGGGTCACCACCACATGAGGAACTGGATTAAAGGGTCGAGGCATGAGGAAGGTTGAGAACCACTGTGTTATAGACTTGGAAACCCTGTATAGGGTTGCTACGAATCTGAATAAGCTTGTTAACAGTGTTGGGTTTTTGCTTTTTTGGTTTTCTTTAGTGTTTCCCCTCGCTATAACATCAACTAGAAAGCTGTCAACATAGAGGGAATCACATCAAAAGGTCAACTGGGCTAACTGCTCAGTGCAGTCCCAGGTGGCCTTCCGCACTTTCCCCACTCGCTACAATCAACAGTCTTCCCCTTTATAATGAGAATACAAAAGGAAATGGGGGATTTATGAAAAATACAGTAGAAACATTATTATTTTCAACTTGCTGTTCCTGAAAGGCTTGCCTGACTACCCCTCCATCCCTTCCGTACCTCCCCTTGCCTTCTAGCCAATGTTTTTCATGGTCTTCACAGCACTGTGTGTGTAGAGAAATCCTAATGAGGGGCATGTGTGAGCTGGCCGAAGGAGATGCTCAGTAGCATCTTTTAACTGGCAGGCATCCCACAGTGCAACCTGTCACACACCCTTCACAGTGAGGTGTCTCAAGATTCTCTGAGAACCCACAGCAAACTGAGATTGTTTCTTTGATGGGCCGTGCAGCTGCCCAAGGACGGAGCTTGCTGCCTGGCATCACTGCTCCTTGCCAGCTACCCGGCTGCTTCTTCCAGGACAAGAGACCAAAGTTCATTGTTCCCATCACTATGAAATTATCTCGCACCGATCCCTCTCTCCCGTTTCTCTTGTGTGAGGGGCGCTGACGAGTTTTCCTGTTCATACAGGTTAATTCCAAACAAAACATGTTTAACCCATGTCAGCAGATGGCTGCAGACAAGTTCTCTGACTAATACACTTGGCCTGGTCTTGTTAGGAGGGTCTTCACAAAAAGGATTCTCTTTGTATCATTGGGGGGTGGGAGGGGAGGGCTCGTGGGGAACCAAACAGTTCTGAGGTCAGGGCTAAGTACTTTTAGCAAAACTCAAGTGGCCATCTTCCCCAGTCACTGGAGCCACAAGACCGTGGGGCTGCTGCTCCGCATGGCACAGGCTTTAGACTCATCAGCTGTCTCAGGGACGACCTTGGAGATGAATTCAAGGCAGAGAGCTTAGCTCAGAAGGGGATGGTGACTGATGTTTGGCATTCCAAAGGGGTAATACTGGTAGAGTTTCTTGAAGGACATAAGGTAATCCCAGGGGCTTGGTATGAAGAATTTTTTTTGAAAATTAAAAACCACATGAGTGAGAAAAGGACCAGGACCATTGGCTAGGGCTTTGTCCCCGTTGTAACAGCGCACTTGCTCATTCTTCGAGGGTGGCCATGGCTGTCCTGGAGAACTCCACGGGCAAAGCAGATGCCATCCACTCCCCAGCTCTGCTCTTACCCCCGCAGACTTCTTTTTGCTCTGAAAAGTTCAAGAGCATTGAAAAAGAGTACGATTTGAATCTCTCCAGGATGCTGACACTGCCATTTTTTTGACATGGTGCAAATAGAAGAAGGCCGACTTCGTGGGGGAAAGATTCGAGAGATGGAAACACCACCCAAGGGAGTGTGTAGACGTAGAGATGACAACGTCACATGCTGCTATTTTTGCTTCATAAAGGGTTCTATGAGTTTTGTAGGAACTTTTTGATGTACCCTCCTATACGTCCTATTTTTGCCTGCATAGACGACATCGATGTTTGGATGCCTCTTCTGTAGATCCAAGAAAAACAGCCTGTAAAGCAGCAGCTCCACACCGGGGGTGGGGTGGGGG